CTGATGGATGGAAAATGAAGTATCTTGTTATACATGCCGAGTCTTTCTACAGTGCTTTGTCTTTTCATCACGGAACGGTTGTAGTCTGCAGGTTCTGCCAGAAGTTGAAATTTCGTTTTCCAGTGCAGTTGAGACTGAACTAAGTTCAGGTGGGACTCCTCTTGGTTGGGACCTGGCTGAGACTTACGTGGGACCCTTGGAACCACATGGGACCCTTGGGACTCAACGGAACCGGGCCCAAAGAAGGAGAGCCTCTGGACCAAAATCGGTTAGGCATTGACCTCTTGTCTTCTTGGCTGGGATATGAGTTCATTCTTCTTGGATTAGGACACCCACTGTTGAGGGGATCTTGGCTTTGACGTTTCGCTTGTGTTCTGATTGCACCATCCGTCGCTTGAGTCGCACCCTGTACACCACTCAATTCTTCATTGTTGCATTTGGTCACTCGTTGTCTGATTCGCTGTACGGACGCGGAGCTGGTCAGGCTGGACTCGAGAGGACCTCGTATGCAGCCTGATCAGACTGGGTCACTGGATCAGACCTCTCTTGGAGTTTGATTGTTTCTTTTGTTGTTCTCTACTTCCAAATGAAATGCCGCTCCGGCTAGGAGTTCTACCTTCTCTTCTCTAAGTTGTATCTGTTTTTCTGAGTTCATTTTCGATGCTCGTGGAGACGCGCAATCTGAAAGAAGAAAGAGAGAAGAGGGAGAGAGGGAAAGTGATAGTCTGAGGTGGACAAGGACTGGGAAAAGGAGTGTTCGTCTAAGCACGAGGGGGAGTGAACCTCTTGAGAGTCTAATTGATTCTTTTGCTATCTGGCGACTCTCTGATCCACCTGCCCACACTGACAGTCCAAAGATGGCCCAGCTAAACTCAACGCAATGGCGGGCCTTGTTAGATGCAGCCGGTGATACTTAGAAACCACATCTGCAAGCACTCTTGGATAGTGCTATAAAACGATAACAGGAGTTAGAGAAGGAGAGGAAGGAGGCCTTGCTGAGAAGGCAAGTAGCCCTCCTAGAGACTGTTCCCTCACTGACTGAAGAGCAGTGTGGGGAACAGCTGCAGTCCATCCTCACAGCCTTTGTTCAAATCAGGAATCTTAAGGACCATACCACTCAGATCGCTGAAGTTTTTGCAAAACTGCAGACAATTCAGGATGATCTGACTGAGATGACCCTCAAGTACCATGAACTGACAAAGGAGGTGGCGGATCTGCGACAAGCCCAAGTGGCCAACCCTCTCCCTCTACCTTCTGGAACTGAAGCTGCAATCGAAACTACCTTTGCCCCTCTTATTGTGTCTTCTTCTACCTCTTCTTCGAGTGTGATGGCAACTCCTTCAGTAYCTGCAGCAGGTGCAGATTCCACTGTTGCTGTAACAAGCAATGAGGCTGGAACTTCTGCAATTGCTGCAACCCCAAGACCGGAACCAGCTGCTGCTGGTCCCAGCCACGCCAGTCCCTATGTGGACCGGAAGGCGGTTCAAATACCATCCAAGTACGATGGCAAGGAAAACATCTAGTCCTGGATCGGCTCCATGAGGGCCTACTTTGAGATCCTGGGGACTCAAGCTGAGACCCAGGCGGTTATCTTGGGTATGAATGTCGAGCCAGTCGTACGGGGCTTCCTAGAAGTCCAAGCAACACGGGTCGGGTTTCAAAAATCTGCACTAGCCAAATGGCTAAGCACCACCCCGGTTGCCTCCCTCGAAGAACTCCTTATCTCTGAATACCAAGATCCACTTGTTGTTGCAAAATCGAGGATTCAACTGGATAAAGTAAAGCACAACAAGTGGAATGACTCCATGAAAAGCCTGCAGACCTATCTAAGCGAGCTGTTTGCCACTCCTGGTTTGGAATTGTCCACTCAACCTTGCTTAGATGTGGTCAAGGGCGCGGCTCCAACTAACTTCACTAGTCGCCTGGGCAGGGACTGCATTGCTTATACTGACTGGCTTGCCTTAATGAAGGATATAGTCAGTCTAGAGGCCATGGACCTCGTTAGCACGGCAGGCATCAAAAAGCCCATGGGTGGCAGACGGTTCAAGGGTAGCAACCGTTTTGCTGTGCATGACCTGCTGGAGGCCGAAGAAGAAGCCGATGCGGGTGACCCCACTCTTGGTGACGACCAAAAACAGGACTCCGATACAGCTTGTTCTTCAGCCCATGAGTCCGATGCAAATAAAGAAGAAGAAAAATTTTCTGCCTTTAAAAAGACTGCCCGTACTAAGGGATCGAATCGAAGTCCGGGAAAAGTTATGTCCAACTCCCCAAAGGAGTTAAGATCCCGCCTAAACTGGAGGATGCAACTACCAAACCTTAGGTTGACCTCCGGATCACTGAGAATGATTGGCGGGGCAGACTCAAGAAGCGGGTATGCCTGCATTGCCAAAAGCCAAATCACAAGGTCTACCTTTGACAGAGGTAAGACTGTCACCCATGCACTGAACTTCTTTGTCCTTGACAAGTGCCCCTTCGACGATATCGTTGGCTTGGGCTGGCTGCAGTCCCAATGCGAATGGACCAAGTGGAAGGCATCACTCTTCATGGTCAAAGATGCTCAAGGGAACGAGCTTCCTGTCCTCTTGGGATGAGAAGCACGAGTCTCCAGTGACTTTTCTAAATGCATTGAAATTCTGCAAGAAATGGCGCAAGAACAAAGAGAAAGAACAATTGTAGGTTGCCTTTGTTCGTCCTGCTCATGTGCCTTCTACTTTTGCGGCTAGTACCACCACTACCTTGAGTAATGATCCTACTTCTAGCACTTCTACTACTAGCACCTCTACCTCTCTACCCTCCGATAGTCCAAATGAACCAACTTCAGATTCGGTCGTCTCTATACGCGACTTGCGATCGGACTTTGGTGATCCCTTTGCTGATTCCCCACCCCCACCTGTCCCATCAGACATCCAAGCCCTCCTCGATCGGTTTACATAAGTCTTGGTCGAGCCACGTGGAGTCCCCACGCGACCGGTTCGACACACGATCGAGTTGGTCGAAGGTGTTGTTCCTCCAAAGAGTTGTGTTTACCGTATGAGACCCGGCGAGTTGGAGGAACTCCGGTGGCAGATCGATGAGAAGATTGACAAAGGGTGGATCAAACCAAGTGAATTTGAATTTGGTGCTCCTATGTTGTTTGTGCCAAAGAAAGGAGGCAAACTCCGCATGTGTATTGACTATCGTAGTCTAAACCGCATCACAAGAAAGAATGCTTACCCATTGCCTTGTATAGATGACTTGCTTGATGCTGTAGGCGGGTGGAAGGTCTTCTCCAGGATCGATCTCAAGTCTGGCTACCACCTGATTGAAGTCGATCCCGCGGACCAGCACAAGACTACGTTCAAGACGCGCGATGGGTTTTATGAGTTTACCGTAATGCCCTTCGGTCTTACGAACGTACCAGCCACGTTCCAAAGCCTCATGGACAAGGTCGTCCGCGAACAGATTGGCCGGTTCGTGGTAGTGTACCTGGACGATATCCTGATTTTCAGCAAGTCCATGGAGGAACACCTCAAGCATCTTGAGGAGGTACTTTCCATCCTCAAGAAGATGCAACTTCATCTCAACTTGGAGAAATCCGAGTCTGGGAGGGATAGCGTCATCTATCTTGGGCACCGGTTGTCTGTTGCAGGCCTAGAGCCTGAGGCAACCAAGATTGAGGTCATACGCGATTGGCCTCAGCTTGTGAACATTCGTGAATTGCGTTCTTGTTTTGGTCTCGCGTCGTACTATCGAAAATTTGTACCCCGTTTTTCTATCATTGCTCATCCATTGTCGCAACTAACCAGCAAGAATGTGTCTTCTTCCTGGGATGCCGCGTGTACGAAAGCATTTCGAACTCTCAAGGAAGCCTTGGTAAGTTACCCGGTACTCCACATCGCAGATGCCAAACTGACCTTCGTAGTTACCACGGATGCAAGTCAGTATGGAATCGGTGTGGTGCTGCAACAAGATGATAGCGATGGCCCGCGGCCACTCGAGTACTACAGCAAACGAATGTCCAGCGTAAAGGTAGCCACTTCCACCTACATGCGCGAGCTCTACGCTTTGCGCATGGCATTGGATCACTGGAAACATTACCTGTTGGGACGCCACTTCAAAGTGTTCTCGGATCATGAGACCTTGAAGTGGATCAAAATGCAGACTACTCTGTCCCCTACCTTGCTTCGCTGGTTTCATGAGATTGACATCTTCGACTTTGAACTCAGACACAAAAAGGGTTGTTACAATCGAGTCGCTGACGCATTATCTCGCCACCCTGAGTACATGACTTGCCTTGTGAAATCCTACGACCTACGGAAGAAACAGAAGGAGGAACTCGTAGAGCAGACAGCCAAGGATCCGAAACTCAGTTCTATCCTTGAGCAGTTGCGGGCTGATCCTAGTAGTCAGCCTGATTTCCACGAGTATGGAGGACTGATTTTTCGCCGATACGAGAACCATGACCGTTTGTGTGTACCCAACCATGAGCCTCTCCGCACACACTTTTTGGACTTGGCTCATGGCCGGACCGGGCACTTCGGCATGGCTAAAACGTATGCTAATTTGCTGAGACAGTTTGATTGGCCTGGTATGAAAGGGACTGCTGAAAAATTTATAGCTGAATGTCAAGTCTGTCAACGAATCAAACCTTGCAGACAAAAGCCCATGGGGCTACTCACACCCCTACCCATTCGTGATGGTCCCGGCGAGTCTGTCTCCATCGATTTCACCGACATGGGTAAGGTAAGCAAGAATGGGTTTTCACAAGTCATGGTGATTGTTGACTGATTTTCAAAGTTTCTTAATCTGATGTCTCTACCACCTCACGCCCCAACAGATCTAGTGATTCGTGAATTCCAGCAGAAATACCTGCTGCAATTCGGAACCCCGAAGACTCTTGTGAGCGATCGGGACCCGCGGTTCATTAGCGCTGAATGGAAGGAGTTCACGTCCCACCTAGGAATCAAACTGTGCATGACATCTGGCCGACACCCCGAAGCCAACGGTTTGGCTGAGGAGATCAAGCAGACTGTATTCCAACTACTCCGTGCTTTGATCATTTCTGATCAGGAAACATGGGATGAGGAGCTGTATTCTGTCAAGGGGTTGTACAACAACTCCGTCCACTCAGCCACCGCCACGACGCCCAACAGGCTGCACTACGGGTGGCAGATCCGCAATCCGCTCTCCTACTTGTTCCCCGAGCAGCCAGCTGGTTTAACACCCGGCAGGCCCGGCTTCAGGGCTAAGTATGATCGTTTGCTCAAAGTTGTTGTTGCAGTTATGACCAAGCGACAGCATGCCATGATTCATCATGCGAACAAGAAGCGCAAACCATCGGAGATTCAGGTAGGAAGTAATGTCTGGGTAAAGATGTCTGAGTTCTCAGAGGAGGAGGGAGTCTCACGCAAACTCCTCCCACTCTACTACGGGCCTTGGGAAGTTTTGGATGTAATTGGAGAAGATCACTTTGGCCCTTCGTACGTTGTAGACGTGCCAGCTCACCTGCGCACGTATCCCCTGTTTCATGCATCTAAACTGAATCTCCATCGTGACGCCGAGACATTCGATTACCACGAAGATATGATCCCTCACGCAATCAAGAGGGGACATGAGATAGATAGAATCAAACAGCATGTAGGTAAAGGGAGAAACAGACAGTAGTAGGTTCATTTCATGTATCACCCGTTAGATGATCTCTACTGGATCTCCAAACAGGAACTGCTACACAGCGCACCGCGCGTTGTTAAAGCTTACGAGCGACAGATCGCCGCTAACGCCACACCAAAGATCTCAGCAAGGCTCTCTGCAACAGAGTATTCCAGGAATCTCTTTGCCTTGCTCGCCTACGATGCGTTTACCGAGGACTCTGAATGAGTTACTCGCTCGAAGGGACCTCGCTCTTGAGGGGGGGGTAGTGTGATAGCCCATCCAGACACAAACTGAAACACACAGCTGATTTCTGAGTTTTGCTCATAGACTGAATGCCCTACTGAGTTCCCCGCCTGCTAAGTCTGTGTGTGTGTGTGCTTGCTGAACTGCATGTCTGTCTGAGTGCTGGTTGGCTTGCGTGTGT